CCGAATATCATTTTAAATTTTTCCGAAATTGCATGCTCATGAACTCACTCACGAACTTAAAGCTTTTATAATAATTAGCATGATGTAACTGAACAAAATCTTATGACTTTTAATTTTTTTTAAATTATAAATAAATAAATATGTTGGGACATTAACACGCACCATCTAGTTCCATGGTAAGCTACGAAGCTTGTGTTATGGATACCAGATAGTTGATACACTACACATAATATAAAACTTTAAATACATACACATTATAAATATGTATAATCACCCATGACTAAAGTACAAACATTCGTGCTATCACACAAATGAATGCTCCCAACGGGACTCGAATCCGCGACCGTTGGCGCAGCAAGTAAGTAAAAATTAAAGAATATAAGGCGTCCTCTATGTAAGATAGCGTATACTACTTTATGTCCATACATCAAGGGTTAAAATATGGAAATATATTTTACGCCCTCTAGTAATGACTTCGAGTAAACTTCTTTTGTTATTTCGTCTAGTAAGAGTAAGATATTAATTTAAGCGTTGTTGTGGCAGATGGCAGCACTTGTCTCAAAGTTTTCTTTAAAAATCTCTCTAATGAGGTTTTTCATTTTGTGCCAAGACATTACAGTTCTAGTTGTATATAGCTCATACATCAGAATGACACATAGGCTACTTTTTATCCCAGAAAATGTACAGTTCCCGTGGGATAGATTTGTTATTGTTTTTCTAGAGGCGAACCTAGCGAAACCAGGGTAAGCCGCTAGTATTTAATATATAAGAACTATAGATGTAATATATGTACTTGTATGTATCACAGTATAATGAAGCAAAAATGATAGTAAAAAAAACCGTTTTTGTTAGGAAAAGTGTTCCGAACTTCTTACTTCTTCTTAATTAAATAAAGACCTTCCATAACTTCATCATATATCTACTCAGTTTTACTAAACTTGTATTGAGGCTGTCTTTTCAATAATTAGTTAGAACTTCACCATTAACTAAATTATAACCCGACTTCATATAAAAGTGAATAATTGAAGCTATTTTATTCATGAAACTGTAACCTTCAATAATTTACATAATATTATTGTGAATAACCCATATGTAATGAACAAAATTCGGTGTAATAGTATACTTTATTTTTCAGTTTCATATATTATCTCGCTTTTTGTTATGGGGTTTGCATGAGAAGCTATTTCAAACTTTAATCATATTGACATAAAAAAGCTTTAAAGTAATACTTTTGAACGAAACTTTGAAAAAGCTTAGATATATTAATTGCCTGCGAAAAATACTTTTTCATCTGTACAATAAACTACAAGAATACTCTATAATTCATGCTTACATTTATAAACGTTAAAATTTGATTGTCTCGCTGAGTTTATTTTCCATTCGTTATTTTGTACCAGGAATGGAGGAAGAAGCGTTTCTGGGAAATAACGGTTTTTATGGTTGTTTGTAGAGATTTTGTTTTGCAGAAAGAATTTTCTTGTATAAATATCAAACTTAATAATAGTGTTGTTTTAAGACATAATGTAGTATATTAATTAACAAGCGTTGAATTACTTTTTTAATTATATATTAAGGTACGCGCTAGTAAAAAACGGTTTAAAATAGTATATATTCCATCCTTAGTAGGTTTTTATGTATATCTATACATATAATAAAACTATAACTAAGCCGAATCTGTACATTAAATATTTTTTGGAAAATCTTATTGAAATAAACATTATTTTGGATACAGAGGCCGAATGTATAGTTTTTATAATTTTTGTCTGTCTGTAAAACCACTGAAGGGATTTTGATGAAATTTGGTACGGTGATAACTGGTTATCTGGATCAATATATATGACACTTTTTACCGCGGGAAAATATCTCATTTCTGAGAAAAAATACAAAAACTACAAAGACTATACTAATATGTAAAACCTAAGAATTTGGTTTTTGGGCATCTGAACGCGGGTGGAGCCGCGGGCAACGCTAGTCTATACATATAATAAAATTGTAACTGAATGTACATTAAATATTTTTTTGGCAAATCTTATTGAAATAGTCATTATTATCGATACAGAGGCCAAATCTATAGTTTTTAGATTTGTTGTCTGTCTGTCTGACTGGGAACGCATCACGAGAAAACCACTGGACAGATTTTGATGAAATTTGATATGCTGATAGCTGGTTGTCCAGGTCAACATACAGGATACTTTTTAGTGCCGGAAAATACCTTATCTCTGAGAGATCTATAACTAAACGTTAAAACGTAACTAGGGATGAACCCGAGTCACTAGCATTTTTAATAAGTTTCGTTGCTTATTTGGGTATAGAAATTTCAGGAAGACATAATCGCGGTATTCATTATTACAATTGTACATTAATACACACAATTGTATAATAAAAATAAGGTTAATTAGTATATGTATTGAAAACAAAACCTCCTTTTTTGAAGTCGATCTGATATTTACAAAATTAAGCTTTTATAGTGCTTAAATAGATTATAAAGTACATACATTAAATTAACAGCAATTGATTTTCCACCTTATTACTTCGTAATATAGATCAAAATTACATTTCAAAGCTATTGATACTATGCGTACAAAATAGAGCTGCTGCAAATCGAGTACCTACCGCGTACCTTCTCAAAAGTTGAACCGTATACGAGTAACAAACAACTTTGTTGTTTGAGATTTACTATCTATTTTAAAAGCTTGGTTTTATTGATTTTATTTAAAGACAGACTATTATTGCTTGAAATTTCACCCTGGACTTAATAATTTTCATAAATAAACCTTATTTAACCGACTCACTGTAAAATCCTATTAATATCATATACGCGAACAATAAACGCGAAAGTTTGTGGGAATGTATGGATGTGTGTTTGTTACTCTTTTACCCATAAACTACTGAACGAATTTTGATAAAACTTCACAGTAATATAGCTAATACATCAGAGTAACACATATGTTATAATTTATATAGTAATATATAATTGAAAAGCTTAAATGGAGCTACAGTAAAACGCTTGTACACAAGCAAATATAATAAATAAATGGTAGTAAAATTATCATTAAGAATTTACATGCGGTTTTCACAATATTTTTTAAATTAATATTTTATACCTGATACAATAGTACCCCCAACGGTGAAAGAGTTTTAATAATTTGAAAGTCCTACCTTTTTTCTGTACTATTTTAATATCCTCTGCCAAAAATAAATGATGCAAGTATGGATAAGCTGATTTTAAGAAGACTTTCCCTGATGGATGAAGATTTTTTCCAGAATACGGAAAATTACATGGTGGCAAATGAGAAGAAGTTTTAAAATGAGAATGTTTTTCCTATTGAAAACAAAGTCGCTTCCCGCTGTCTGCCTGTCCCTATGTATACTTAGATCTTTAAAACTACGCAACGGATTTTGATGCAGTTTTTTTAATAGATAGAGTGATTCAAGAGGAAGGTTTATATGTATATCACATGCATATTATAATATAGAAAACCGAGAAATTCAAAGATTTGTATTTCATACTAACCGTTAAAACGTACCTAGGGACGAACCCGAGCGAGGCGAGGGTGAGTCGCTAGTAAATAAATAAAATAATTCCTGCTAGAAACAGATGTCGTGGATATATCACAACAAACTCAGAATATAAATGTATAAAACTGGTTAACATTTCCTACGATGTTTTTTTACCACTAAAGCTTAATACTAGTTCGCTTTAACCGGATAAAAAATAGGTCAACTTTAACAAAAATTGTGAAAGAAAAGGCAATGACCTCAGACATTTTAAATATTTATAACAATATCTTCTTAAAAGGTCAAAGTTCTCTTATATTTTTCATACAATAGACAAAACTGAATTTTATTTTTAACATGATTGAATTCACTGCAGTAAATATCGCTTCTTAGCTGCATTGCGCCAAACTACTGGTCTGTCGTAAAAGTAGTGGTTTTGCTTATATATTTTATACCACTTACACCTATGTGTTTTTTGCCGTAAGCTTCACATAAGCTTTACATGTTTTTTTTTCTAGTAATATCTTAAATATACTTGTTTTAAAACTTTGAAGTTATAAATAGATTTGAAAAGAAAGATATAATATCAATATTTTACTTGTGACCCCAATAACTCTCTAAGATCTCAGATTAACGAAAATTTAGTCGTGCTTCTAAACACACAAAACTATTAAAATGGTCAATTATTATGATGTAAATTATATAAACATTAGATATTTATTTTTAATCTTTGTATGGACGTATAAAGGTAATTAGGTAGGTAAAAAGGTAATTTGTTTATTTTATTTATAACCAACTTCCTTTTAAAATATTTTGCAATAACATATTTTAAATCTATGTTCGGTGAGTCAAATCTGTACATTAAATATTTTTTGGAAAATCTTACAGTAACAGTTATTACATATTATCGATACAGACAAATCTATAGTTTTTAGAATTTTTGTCTGTCTTTCTGTCTGTCTGCGACCGCAGCACGAGAAAACCACTGGACGGGTTTTGATGTGACATGATGATAGCTGGTTATGCAGGTCAATATATATGATACTTTTTACTACGGGAAAATATCTCATTTCTGAGAAATCTAAACTAACCGTTAAAACGTACCTATCTAATAATAAAATAAAATACATAATATATTAAAATCTCAATAATAAAATCAATGAGAAAATAGTTCTAAGATATAATTCACCAAATATACACGCATAATAAAAAACAATCACAAATCGATGTATTTAAATCGATATCCAACCCCATTACGAATATGAAATAAAACAACAACGAAACACGACAAAATTCAAAAAACGAACGTGAAAATACAATATTGATTCCATTAAAGAATCGAAATGAAGCTATAAAATCGATTGATAACCAATTCCCTGTAATCGTTGACACGAATGTCACTTTTCGCGCCGAAACGTCAACGTCAAAGTATTCGGGGGCTGTGGGAAATACGTTTGTCTCTTTCTATATTACATAATAAGGAAAGAAAGTGAGCGATGCTAGGTTGTGCCGAGTTCCGCATGCGGGCACGTCCTAGGGGTGGCTATTGATTTTTCTTTGAGTTTGCGGCAGTCGCCCGACGAGCCGGTGTCGAGCGCGAAAACACTGTCTCGCGCTTCGCGTCCAAAATACTTATACAATCCAAAATTTAGTTTTAACACCTTTAATTTATATTTTAAAGCAGTTTAGCCTTTCCGTTTTTGTGCTTTAGTGCGCTGGGAACAGAATTTCGTAAGTCTTCTTCTTTATTATTATCTATTTAATGTGACAATAGTGTTTTTATTGCCACGAGACGGTCATTTCGATGGTCAGTTGGATTGATATAGATTTTACACGTGTAATACTCGATGATTGGCGTCAGCTGATTGACCCACCCCACAAACGTCAACGTGATAGTAATCTGTACTGCATCGTGAAATAATAGCAAAGCGTTAAAATGCAAGAAAACAGCATAATTATTAATAAGACTAACTTACCAGTTTATCCAAAGGTATATTAGATTTGTAGACTTTAGTTCGCACTGTGTGATACACGTTCATGTTTAACTTTTAGAGAAACCTCAAAATTGAAGCGTTTAAAGGGGTGATGTGGTGGCCGGTGTTCTTGGAAATAAAATTAAATTGGGGATAGTAATGTATGCTAGGCGTCTTATCTCGAGACTAACCGGAGAGGGCTAGCACGATGACGTCATGGATCGTTATATCAATGACGTCATTCGTCCTTTGGTCCTGATCATTTAAAGCAATAAAGCCGGAACGTGGAGACATTTTAATGGTATCTGCAGATTAATTTTCTATGTAACTATAGCTAGGCTGTAGCTGTGTGGAGGTTGTTCCCTAGTTTGTGTGTTGCAATAAAATTGTAGTTTTTATAAGAAATAAAAAAGATATTAAAAAAGATTAGTGCAATATTAAAGGAAATCAAATTAATCTTTCTTTGTCGTATTGGGAGTAAAGTTATATATTATAATTCATCGATTTTAAAATCTTTAGTAGTTTTTTAGTACTTAAGTAGGTATATATAATTTGTTTTGACGATAAAGTTTTAATGTTAAATATCGTCAACATAATAATTTATGACGTATGATAAAATTATATGAAAAAATATATTTAACGGTACATCTGCGCTAAAACACTGTCTAATATTATTATTATTGCTTCCCCATACAAACTTTCATTCCCATCCTCACCCCTTAAGGGATGATTTCCGGGATAAAAACTATTTCACTCACACACTTTTCATATCATGAGATTTAAAAAAAATCTTTTTTTATTTTTTTTTCATTTAATTTTCTTCTGTGCAAAGCTTGTCCTGAATAACAAACACAAAAAAAGAATTATCCAATTTCGTGCAGTCGATTGGATGTTATGCGTGTACATACATTTCGATTCATTTTTATTTATATAGATTATTTTGATAAAATTAAGGCACGTTCACGCCCATTCACGTTTAGCCTTATACCACACCCTTTTAAAATACATTTGTATTCAATAGTTCTTTTTACTATAAATTGAAAAAAAAAAATATTCCGATCAAGGGTTAAAACTAATTTTTTAACATTTACTAGTCTTTCCCATAATTAGTATGTTTTATTAGGTACTTACTGGGGAGGCTCAGCGTAAAATAACGCAACTACGATTTCATGAATAAAGGTATTTTTATTTGTTTATTTTTTATTTAGTCTTATCTATTCAATGATTTTTGATATTCAGAAAAAAATAAAAATGCATACGGTTTGAGTAAATAGCTCAAATGTTCGTATTTTCAATTAGCATTGAAAAATTGAAATTTTTATGTATGTATATAACTATGTCAATAAATAATAAATTATAATTTATTATTAAAGTAACACAAACGAGGTTGATAATTTATTTTGTTGTTTCTGATTATCTCTTTTGCCTCTTAAACAAATTCTCTTCAGACACACTCAGGGAAAGCTTTGTTTTTGGCCGTCCTTGAGTATGTAGCATAGGCGTCAACCATTCGCCCTAACTCCGTCAGCGCCGACTCTACCCAGCCCCTTCAGTAACGTTTCAAGATACTAAAATTCCACTCAAACTATTGAATCTAGATAAAAATTCCGATATACTAATTGTTTATTATTGTGTATTTATATTATGAATTCAGAATCGTTTTTCATTTGTAGTTATAGCAAAAATAAATTTCATAGAGCCCCAGTTTTGGGATAGCCGTCTAATTGGTTTTGTTTGTATAAAATGTAGCCCTTGAACGGACACAGACCGTAAAAAATCGATAAAAACCTTATTTATTATAATCGGCTTAGTAGTTTAGGCGATACAGTAGGACATACGTAAATAGACTAAGTAAATACAATCATTGCCAGCTAAATAATAAACATTTTTTGCCTTTAGCCTCGTCAGGTTAAAGTAGCCTTTGTCTAGATGATAGTCTCTATAGAAACATTATAATATGATCTGTATTACACCGTTACGTTGCTACGTGAAAATATTAAACACAAAATATATCTTCTTTATACATCCATACTAATATTATAAATATGAAAGTGTGTTTTTTGTTTGTCCTTCTTTCACATCAAAATGGAGTGACCGATTGGCGTGATTTTTTATGTGGAGATAGTTCTAGGGCTGGAGAGTGACATAGGCTACTTTTTACTGCGGGAGATCATCTAATTCCCACGTGAAAACACGTTATAATACAATCCAGAAAATATTAATGATCAGAATTACTTGAAACTTGGTATTAATGCTCTCCAATAAAATTAAATGAATACGTATTTTAGCATTTTTCGATTCATCCTATATGGGGGTAAACCGGGAGTGAAAGTTAGTTTGAAACTACCCTTTTAGAGATTTTTTTGTGACTTTAGCGTGAGCGAAGCCGCAGGTTCTGCTAGTATGTGTATAAATATGCAAAGTCAAATAGTACATTATTTTTTCTCCTCTGTTTATCAAACGATTTTTTTTGAGTAGCTATTTACAAGCGAATTTAGTGATAAAAAAAGGTTTAATTAAAAGCTTTTTTTGAAATGTCAAATATTCGCGTAGAAGATTTAGACTGTTTTGTGAGTATCCTATTTTTAGAAGTCAGTTAGGAATGCAAAATAATGTTTGTTATTTTTTGTTATTAATGTTAGTAAATGTTCGAAATTTGACACATTATTGAAGAGGAAAACATATATGAATAGAATTTACCTATCTGTTTAAAAAAACTGTATCCAAATTTTTTTATTGATACCAGTCAAGCTCGTAATAGCTAATAAGCAACAAGAAAATCGGTTGTGAAATCGAGGATAAATTGGAACTCAACTGTTTTATGTAAAGATAAAAGTGTAGTGTATTTTGAGACATCCGATTCTTTACTTGTGCAAGAACAAATTAACGTGATTATTGCAAAAAAATAATCGTAGTTAAAGGGTTAAGAATGTTAGGGCTAACTTGTTAGGTTCTGTCAGACATGCAGGTTTCCTCACGATGTTTTAATTCATCTTTGTATTTCAAATAGCAAAAAGCTATGATAGCTTGTATTGTGCCTGTATGAAATGAGGACGAGTCAGTAGTATTTAATATCCTTCAAATACGAATACATAACGAGATTTACTCAGAACTAACAATGTCAACTGAATAGCAATGTTGGAATTAACCAGCTCTATTTAAAAATAAATATAGTTTCTAAGTTTCAAACAGTCAAATTTTCAAGATTTCAGTTGCTATTATAATTGCAAAAGGTTGTGTTTGTACATATGTGTATGTTGTTACTCTTCCACTCTGAAATGACTTGATGGATTTGGATTAAATTTAATACACACACTGTGGCCTAAAGACATATTTTATTGATAGGTACCTAGGAACCGGAACAAAGCGAGGATAAATTGCTAGTATATATTATAAAATAATGAAGGAGTTTTACTAGATTCCTAAGCCAATGGGTATATGGTAAATTTTTCCAACTAATTACTTTTTTCAAAAAGTACACTAATTTCAATGAGAAATCCATTTCTACTAAGATTTCAAAAAGAATTATGGTAATCGATCCACAATCGGTCATAAAACCACAAAAATAATTGAGTACCTCCTCCTGTGAAGTCGGTCAAAAAGAGCATACAATATTACTTACCCTATAGATAAGCACATAATCGATATGACGTATCATATTGAATAGATCTTCAAGTATTTGACCATTGAGACTTGAAAGTGAAGGCGGGTTGTAAGTTCCTCATAAGCTTTTCAACTCACCTTTTGATGTGGTACTTTATACGATTACATATAGCTCTAAGAAACTCTTACGATGTCGATTTTCTACAATCCATATCGCTAAAAGAAATAGAATCAAACAAGTCATAAGACGGTTTTACCAGTAGCTATAAAATATGATGGTTAGTTCCATGAACGAATTAGCCACTTCGTTCATGGTTAGTTCTATCTGATCTTATCAGCCAATACCATCAAATTATTATATTATATATATTGTCATGTAGATATCACATACATTTACGAAATACGAAATGAGTAAAAGTAGGCTTCCAAAATTTGACTAATCAGTCTGTGAGTCTGGTATACCAAGTCAGTATGTTAGTTACAAGTGGAGCTAAAACATGTAATCCATACTTAATATTATAAATGTGAAAGTGTGTTTGTTTGTTTGTCCTTCTTTCAAGTCGAAAGGAGTGACGGATTGGCGTGATTTTTTGTGTGAAGATAGTCGGAAAGCTGGAGAGTGACATAGGCATACTTTTTTACCGCGGGAGATTATCTAATTACCACGAGAAAACGTTGTAATACAATTCGAAAAAATATTTATGATCAGAATTACTTGAAACTTGGTACTAATGATCTTCAATAAAAGTAGAAGACTAATGACGTGCAGTAAAAAGTTGTAATAATTTAATGCTGAATAAAATAATTTGAATTTATTATATCACAATCTTCAATCTCTTGCTATATTTGCTGTCTTAATTACTTTCATACAAACATGTATTACACAGGTTTCCATCCAATACTTTATTGCCGAATAGTTTTTATAGCTTCCCAAAACCAATTAGCCTTTCGAGGAGTAGACATTATTTTCTAAATCTAGACTGTTCTAGATAACTTTAAACACATGATATTTTCTATTATAATTAAAAGAAGACAATAAATAAATAAATTTCACCTTAATATAATATTAATAATATTATTAGATAAGTTCGAGTCCGGTCCGGTCCGGTTGAATTTAATTTCTCATACAAATACTTTATTTTCGTCATGGTAAATTGCAAACATTTTTTTTTATTATTGATTGTTCTATAATGCCTGTGAGCAGTGTGTTTCACGAATAATGTTCGGAAATAGCATCGCTCTTAATCAAAACATATTATCGGAAAAAAAGTAATAGCTAATATATGTACATATGTATGTATGTATGTATGTATGTATGTATGTATTTATGTATGTATTTACAACTAGTAACTTACCCTCGCTCTGCTCGGGTCCGTCATTAGGTATAGACTTACGCTATTGCAGATTTATCTGTAGGCCTTATTAAGACGTTCAATTTTGTAACACATTGGTTTCTTAAAACT